ATATAAATATATAATAAAATGTTATATATGAAAAAGAATGTTTCATATATAAAATATACCTATGAACTACAATGATCTATAAAACAGAATTTGAAGGGGGGGAAACCAACGACAAGCCCACTGCTGTCGAGCCATTTCTGACTTACAGCTACACTACAGGACGAGCTGACGTGCCCAACATCCGGGGCTGTAGATCTTTACAGAAGCAGACAGCCACCTCTTTCTCCTGCAGAGGAGCTGGAAATATCGAGACTCCTAGCTGATTCCCCCACTGGGTTTGTGGGAGGCTTTTTGCCTGGAAGGAACCTGTCTTAGAAGTGCCCATCTTTCTTCAGTGGAGCCTTTGGTGAATCTGAACCAACAGAGAAGCACACCACCTTTGGGTTAACTGCACAACCCTCTTACCGCTTATGCCACCAGAGCTCCCTGGGCTTGGGCAACCCATACACATTTCCCAAGCCTTGCTCCCTCTTCCCTTGGCACATGTGCAAGCTGCTTAGTTTAGGCGACAGCCACTGAGGTTAGATGCCCACCAAGCCTGTGGAAATGGCCACGAAAGTCAGTCCCTAAAAGAGTGCTGGAGCAGTTTAGAATGGGCACAACCCATAAGGAAAGCAATCTGGGGATTGTAGACAGTCACAAAAATGCTCATACCCTTTGAACCAGAAACTCCGCTTCTGGGAACTTATCCTAAAGAAACAACCCAAAACAAAGAAAACACTGTATTTATGAAGCTCTTCATTACAGTTTAGTTAAAAATAACATAATACTGGAAGCAACCAAAATGACTACAAGCAAGTAGTCACAGATAAAACTACATGAAAAACTACTAGTTATTAACACTGTATCTGTGCAATATGGGGAAGTTCCTATGCTACGTTGTTGTTGTTGTTGTACCATAGAGTCTGAACCGATCCATAGCTGATCCTCCAGCAGGTTTTCAGAGGCAGTTAATTGCAGGGGAGGAGATTACCCATCCTTCACCTGCAGAGCAGCTGGTGGTCTCAAACTGTGTGCCTTCAGGATTGCAGCACAGTTTCTTGCCAATAGGCTACCAGCACTCTCTATGATGAAAAGATAAAAAAACAGGGTTGGAGTTGGGAGACCAAGACTATGAGCATTCTCTGCAACCAAGAGATGTGTTGGCAAACAAGGATCTGGAGGGGACACCACAACTGCCCACGTCTGTTTACAGTGACAAAATCTTGGGGATTCTTTTTCCTCTACTTTGGAAATGTTATGAGGCATAATTTTGTTTTCTCCAATGCATACTACACATCTAGAAACTAAAGCAAAACATCCCATTTCCTCCAGGTCAATAGTGATAAACACAAAAAGCTAATTATATTTTTTACAAGGGAACAGGGGAAAAGAATATAGTGGGAAAAAGAACCTCATGCAGACACATTGATTTCATAATGGCTTCTGAGATCACGAGATAAAACAGGCTGGTTTGGGATTTGATTTGTTGTTGCCACATACCATCTAGTCCACTATGACTCACAATGACCCTACAAACAACAGATGTAAACCAGGCCCTGACCTGTGGCATCCTCACCATTTCCTAGATACTTGAGTCCATTTTTAAAATCATTGTGTCAATCCGTCCTATTGAAGGTCTTCCTCACCTAGCTGACCCGCCACCTTCTCAAGTACGAGCTCTTTCTCCAAGAACCGGACCCTCCTGACATGTGCCCAAAGTATGTGAGACTAAGCCTCACCATCTTTGCTTCCAAGGTACACCCTGGTCACACTTTGTTCTTTCAGCAGTCCGTGGTATATTAAGTACTCTTCTCCAACATCCTAACTTAAAAGCTTGATTCTTCATCTGTTCTTAATCATTGTCCAGATGCATAGCAAGTAACTGAAAAGACCATGGCTTGGATCAAGTGCACCTTAGTCTTTAAACTGACATCTTTGCTCCTCAGCATTTGGAGAGGTCGTTAGAACAGGAGATTTTCCCAGGGTGATACATCTTTTGATTTCTTGAGTGCTGGTATCACGGTTTTGGTCTGTGGATCCAAGTTAAGATGAAATCATTGATTGCTTCAATCTCTTCTCTATTGGGATGTTGTTGTCTATTGGTGCAGTGGTGAAGATTTTCGTTTTCCTGATGTTGAGATGTAATCCAAATTGAAGGCTGCAGTCTTGGATCATCTGCAGCAAGTGCTTCAAGTTCTCCTCACTTTTAGCAAGCAAGGTTGTGTCATCTGCATAACACAAGTTATTGATGAGCCTTCCCACGTCCTGATGTCACATTTTTCTTCTTCGTGGGATTCGAGAATTCTCCCAAAACTGTTCCTAAATCCCTTCTAGCTAGCATTACACTGGGGGAGGGGCGTTAGTTCATTAAGACCCTATTTCTTTCTCACCTAAGATGCTAGAATATCCCACCATTTGCAGCCAGCAATTCCCAAGCCTGTGCCAGGCACTGGGCTTACATCACATCCACACTCCCATGTCCACTGGCAACAGCTGTGAGGTAGGACACAGGAAGCCGAGGCTCGGGAGGCCGAGCAGCTCATTCAAGGTCACGCAGCTGGAGTTGGAGCTCGATCTACGGCTGGCCTGGCTCATGAGCGAGCATTTTCTTAACTGCTTTCCTCAACCTCCCTTACACATGGGTGAGTCCAGGCCAAGCCTAACGTTCTGTGCTTGAACATTCTTAGCAGATTCCAAAGGCTCCAGAGAGCTTCATTTCAATGTAAACGTCCCGTCTCACCGGCATGGCTGAGTGGCACTCTTGCTATTTTGGACTAATCTGGTTTTTACTCATTGCTCTATCCACACACTGCTCTAATCCTGGCATCCCAGAAAACTTTCAACAAGCATGTCCAACAAAAGAATGGTGTGATTTACAAAATGCCAGAGAGAGAACAAGACATCGCTGCCCGTTTTCTCTGTCTAGCTTGCCCGCCTGCCCACCCTCCTCCAGCCTCTCTCCCCGCTCCCTTTCCCCCTCATTCCATTCCAGGTCTCTGCTTCTCTTTCTCACATTGGCCTCTGCACCTGTCAGCAAAGCTCTTCCTTTAACTAAATGCACAGCTGACTCCTCACCTCCACAGACTGGCTTTTCCTCACTCTTGTTATTATGTGCTGTTGAGCCAACTCTGACTCACCATGACCCCATGAACAACAGATCTGAACTCTGTCATGTGCCATCCTCACAAGTTCTGACACACTCGAGGCCACTGCGGCAGTTATTGCAGCAATCACTGGGTCAATCCATCTGGCTGAGGGTCTTCCTCTTTTTTGCCAACCCTCTACCTTTCCAAGCATAATGCCCCTCTCCAAAGAATAGTCTCTCTCAGCAACATGCCCAAAGGATATGAAATGAAGCTTTATCATCTTTGCCTCTAAGGAGCACGGCGGCCACACTTTTTCCAAGACATATTTGTTTGTTCTTTTGGCAATCCACAGAATATTCAGTACTCTTCTCCAATATTACAGCTCACAGGCATCAATGCTTCTGCCATCCGTATTCACTGTCAAGCTCTCAGATGCATAGCAAGTGATTAAAAAGACCATGGCCTGAATCGGACACACCGTAGTCTTCAAACTAACATCATTAACTCATCAGTAACTTAGAGAGGTCCCTGACTGCAGACTTTCCTAGTCCCTGATCTCCTGACTGCTAGCACCAAGGGTGTTGACTGTGGTGTAAGATGAAGTTGTTGACCCTAAAGTATGCACATGGTTTGCTCTTGACTAACCACCCAACCGGGCCATGAGTATAGATCTTACAGTCAAGAAAACTAGATCAAGAAGTTCTATTCAGTCCCACATGGTGTTGCCATGAATCGGGCCACATGCAACTGCAATGGGCTTGGCATGGCTGGAGCAGCGCTAAAGCAGGAGTGCTCCTTTGCCATGTTGCCATGTTTTTCTTTATAGATTTTACTTGTTGCTCCTTAAGTCATGTTACATGCAGGAAACAGGTACTTTTTGCCTTGCTTACTTCTCCACCTCCAGGTGGAGAAGCACCTGGGCCTGGCATGTAACAAGAATCCAGCAGCTCTCTGGTGAATGTATGCGTAAACCTTCTACACATTAGGCATGATACACTAGTAAGGGCTCGTTGAATTTCTCTGACAGCTCCTTGAGGAGTATCAAGTGTGGGGATTGTTTTTTTAATTTTATTATTGTTTGTGTGTACCATCAAATCAGATCTGACCAGTACAGGAGGAGATTGCCCCTCCTTCTCCAGCAGAGCATCTGGTGGATTAGAACCAAGTACCTCTGGGATTGCAGTGCAGTTTCCTGCCACTAGGCCACCAGAGCTTCCTAAATGTGGGGATTTTGTGAAGACGCAGTATCCTAAATGTTAAAACAAATGGACTAGGTAGGGGCATGAAGGGAGAGAACAACTCCAAATAAAAAAATCAGCAATTGACAATGAGGAGATTTTTCCCACCATCAAAGAAGCAAGAAAATGTAACTCATCCTTCAGGACTAGAGCAACAGCCAGAGCAGCTGAAGCAGAGGACCAGGGAGCCAACGTGTGGTGGAGCTTCCTTGGGACTGTTCCCTCCCCACAGACAGAACTAGAGCTAAGTGAAGCACCTTAAGCCACTGAATTCTGTATTAATCTGGATTCTACTATTGACCTTTTAATTTAAAAAACAATCAAGCAAACAACAACAAAAAAACCCCACACCAAAACAACTCTGAATCCAAAGGATGAAATGGAATGTTCTTAGGATACAAGCAAAAATCTTGAAGCTAACCATGTAAGCCCTCAATCACTGGCTAAATAATTTTTATGCTTCCTTCAGGTCAGACTCTAAGCACACTGCTGTGTTCTGATTTCTGAAAGGGGCTAAGCTTCCGCCTGACTCCTGCCTTTCCACAGGAGTTGGATCGGGGTGAGAAGCTACAACTCCCCTTCAGAAACTTAAAGTCTTAAGTGGAAGCACTTCTAAGATGGATGGTTCTACTTAGAAGGTGCCTACCTGCTTTTCTTGTCTCTAATCCTTGATATAAGAGTTGTGTTTATGAACTTGTAAGACAGAGGGAAGTCCAATGAGAAACCCCAGGGGAGCCGAGGGGAACGACAGGAGCTCTGGATAGGGTTCGGTCAGCAATATGGGCCATGGGGGTGAACAGCTACCCTGCACTAGCATCTAACAGGGACACAATGACCAAGGAGTAGAAGCAGAAGACCATCAGGGACTTGCCAATGGTCTTTCCATTCAGCCCCCATGGGCAATCAAGGAAGACACTGTGTGCTGTTGTATGATGAAGAGACATCGGATTAGACATGTGGTGGGAAGCACCAAAGCCAGGCCAGCTCCCTCTGCCACCAGGCTGATCACCTCTGCATGGGGTTTTTCTGTTTCCCTCTTGTGGGTCAGGACTGCCTGCTCCTATTCCCCAGAAGACTGTCAGGAGGCAGAGCTCAAGGTCAATGGCCAAGGTCCTCAGGCCCCAAGTTCTTGAGCACCAGCAACCCTCGGGTCTCATCACTTTCCAGTCAGGCTCCCTCAGTGGTTTCGGGGATGGTCACTCCTGAGAGGGGCCAGAAAGTGCCTGGTCTCTCTGGGCCTTTGCCTGCACCAGCTGCCTAGATCACTCCTGTCTTCTAACTTAAGAATCCATCCCTGCAGCGCCTTCCTAGCTGGCATTAGGGACATGACACCCATACTGCTTTAGTAAAACAAGATAACTGACCTTACCATACTCCTCTCTCATCCTCTAGACTGACTGACTGGGCTGTTATTCTGAAGCCCTGGTGTGCAGCATCAAGCAGGGCTTTACGAGGAAGGCAGCGGTGGGAGGCAGTGCACCAGAGAGGCTAAAAGTCTAGGCTCTGGAGCCAGAGTTATGGTCGAATCCGTACAGCTGCTTACTAGCTGGGTAACTGAACAAATCCCTTCACCTCTCTGTGCCTCAGGGAACAGCAGCAGTGCCGATCGTCTAGGGCGGCTACGAGGATAAAATGAGTACACCCACGTAAAGGACCAATACGAATACTCACTTTGTCACAAACGATAAATGTGATTGTCAGATTCAGTGTGAAGAAGACCCAGAAAGTCCCAAACCAGGACGAAGGCTGCCTGTGGTGCAGGGTAGCAGGTCTCCAGGCCTCCTGGCTCAGGGGCTGTGCAGGTCTGAGGCTGGCCTTCCCTGGCATAGGATGCTGTAGCCTGGTGGGTGTGCAGCTTCACTATAATTGAGGAGATTCCCTCCGAGAGCACCTCTCGGGCCAGCCAGAGACTCAGGGTTAGTGTGCAGCACTAAGGAGTCACTGTCATGACAGACAGCTGTCAGGCGCAGTCCTCTATGGGTGCCGATACCGGGAGCGTCCAGTGCAAACACTGCCACCCACAGGCGGAACCACGTGCCCAGCTGACACAATGAGGGAAGGCACCTGAGACTTGGACAAGGCGGGTCCTGTGGTGAGGTTTATGGGTTTTTTTCAGTCAGGAATGTGGGCTGACATAAAACGCATGGGTCTGACTTCCTGTGTGACCCCCCGGCCTCTGAAACAGAGTCCTAGCAGGATGGGGCAGAGGAAGGCCACAGAATCATCTCATCTGAGGCAGACACAGCACATCACCCCTGCTCGCTAAAAGCCCGAGGAGTCCAGGCCTCTGCCACTCTGGGTGTACATAGATTAACTCAGAGGAACACAGGCTGACAAGGAGAGCCGACTGCAAGGAAGTCCTCTAAATAATCCATTAATATTCTGTCTCCAGGGAATGATTTTCTAGGAAAAGGTTCTGATGCTTTCTAAGAAAGAAACTGTGATCTTACAAGGGCAATAAAATACCATGAACAGCTTTGCCCAGACGGCTTCCTAGAGCACCTGCTTCAGAAAAGCCATGTGCTGATAACGGAAGCGCACTGTGTGGTGGGTTCTGAGAACAACTGCACTCTCCACGGACCTCCTCAGTGGGCACCGCAGCCACTCCCCCCCCCCCCCCCCCCCGCGTGTGCCTGATCCCTTAACAGCACTCATCTCCCGGGGGTCCAGGCCACATCTGAGCTAAGACATCACATCCAGCTCACTTGCATCGCACTCACGTGGCTTGAGGGCCTCCCCCACACCTCCTTTTCACAGAAGCCCAGCTTGCTGGCTTCCTCTCAGAGCTCAGGAGTGGGTGCTGTGTTCTGCACCCAGAGAGACAGCCTGCCTGCAGGAAATGCAATTCCAACCCTTGTGCTGCAAAGGGAAGGGTTCTAGGAAGTTATGTCTGAAGGGTGCAGAGGGAGTGGTCAACACAGCACTCACTATCTGAACTTGTGCTGGAGTGGCCTCGGGGACAGGGTCCCTGAAGAGGACAGGCCAAGCTCACTCACCCGTCGGGTCTTCTCCACGTCACCGCATGGCAGGCGCTTCACGAAGTCGATGCCTGTCAGTGGCGTGCCCGTCGGGGGCAGCAGGATGGAGGCGTCCATCATGAGGTACTCCACATTCATGGGCTTCATCTAGGAGCGAGACAGAGAAGGAAGGACAGAGCAGGCATCAGTGAACCAGTGACTGCGGTCTGGATGCAGACGATGCATGAGGGGACACCTCAAGATAGGCAGGTTTGCAAACCACATTAACTTCTGTTTTCTCTAAACGGCAGATTCTTCCCTGGAGTGAAAAGCTATGCCTTCTCACCTCAGCCCTCACCCTGGCAAGGACCGCGGGGCTTGTCAAGAAGGCTGGTCTGTATCTAGGAGAGAGCCTGTCTCGCCGTCTAATGACTGCTGACTACAGGGCAAGCTGGGAGTTAGAGGCCTGTGTACAGGCTCTTGGTCAATCCTTCCCACAACACCAGATGTTTCCAATTTGCTGGTGAGAAACCTGAGGCTCAGAAGTTTAGAGATGGATCAGAGACACAAGCCCAGGCCAGCCTTGCTCTATATCCCCACGTTGTTCCATACGCACAACACGTCCCCCTCTGTCCTCCGTCTGTTCACGTCCTGCAGTGATTGATAACACGTATTATGAATTCTATAATACATCCATTTGCTGAGCATGCTCTACGGGCACTGCCAGGCTGACCCCACTTCCTGGACCGCTGGGACTTGTGCTGCCCCGAGAGGGACACTGCACTCAGGAAAGGAAGGGCACATGCCATGGTGACCAGGTCATCTGAGCAGAGCTATCTGCTCTTTGCACACAGCCATCCATAACCACTAAGCAGCATGATGACATGGCTTTCCCACCATGGGCTCTTCTCCGCCACATGACAAATGACTGAATGTGCACGTGCTATTCCTCACCTGCTTATTCAAATCAACAAAGTTCTGGTGGCTGAGCGGTACGGACCTGCTTGCTAACATGAAGGTATGTGGTCTGAATGCATCAGCTGCTCTGTGGGAGAAAGCTGGGCAATCACCTCATGTGATTACTGCCTCTGAAAACCTGCTGAAGTCTCAGCTATGGCACTACACAAAGGTGAAGTTTCTACAGAATTTTTTTTTCTTAAACATGATGATCTTTTTTGTTATCTCCCTTTCAATCAGAAAGTGAATCTCACTAATATCTGTCTCCTATACCCTCCTGTTACAGAAAGTTAATGGAGTGAGCAGGTGGGATGCGGAAAGGCCCAGATGACCAGACTCTGTGAACGGCCAGGGAGCCAAGGAGCCACTGGGGTCATCCACTTGTCTTTTCTTTTGACATTTCAAGAATTTTCTTTAAAAGGCTTGAAGCCCACCAACCCAGTCCCCTGTAGTCCAGAGAGGTTGAAGTTCCTGCCTTGCCAGTCTGCTGGGCTCCTTACACTTTCTGCAGTGCACAGGAGACATCAGGGCAAAAGTCAAGGCCTGGTGTGACAGCAGCACCCAAGGGCCCATGCCTACTTCCTTTCCAGACTGGGCATCAGAGCTGGAGGCCGGGGAAGCACCCCCTTTGCATTTGTCTGGAGAGCAGGGCCATGTGTGTGACACAAAGTACTGATTCACACAGAAGACAAACACACACAACCAGGAAGGTTGTCTCGGCTAGGGGAGAGGGAGGAAAGGTGCATTTGTTGTGCAGAGATTCTCAATCAGGCTCCTGTCTGGGTGTTTTGCACTCAGGCTGGGCAGCTCCAGGGAGTGATCTACATTCAGAGATGAAGAAAACCAAGGCTCAGCACTGAAGTAACCTGCCAGAGGTTGCACAGCTAGTGAGCAACAAAATCAGAGACTGAGTAGAGGCTAAGACCTTGTGCTTTTCTGAAGAGTCAAGTGTCATGAGCCCAAACAGGAAAGCAACTATGGAGAAGGACGCTGTCGAGGTGCTCACAGGGGGGACAGAATGGAAAGTGAATGTCTAGTCCACCTCACTCTAATGGTCTGAAGACAGAGACACTCTCCTGGGAACCAGACACATGACAGGTGGTCTATACAACTGATACTGGCAGCCTCTCGTCAACACAAGGACTGAGCAGGGGCTCCTTGGAGAAGAATGAGGCCAATTTACACTTGCTCCCTGGAAAAGCTCTGTGGAAGTTACACGTATGCCACGAGCAAGCATGTGCTAAGGCTGGCTGTTCACAGACCCTCGGTGAAGGGGCTGGGAAGCCGGGAGCCACTCAGCACTCTGCCCATTCTTGTCTTTGTGACACTTCACCAATGGAGGCTTATCCTCAACTTCCTGAATCACTTCACTCTGGGGACTAATGTCCATGAGAAGGACCATTTATTATCGGCTGAGCGAGTGTCTCCTCAGGTGCTCGAGATGCAGGGACTAAAGTACAGAGAAAGCGCTGTCCTCTGACCCAATGGTTTCCTACACCTCAGCCCGCTGTGCTGTGGATTCCAGGAGCGCTCACTGCCACGGAATCTGTTTCCATTCACAGATGATGCTCCAGCAGGTTTCTGAGGCTGTAAATTGCATAAGAAGACACTGCCCATCTTCAGTCCCTGGAGCTACTGGAGGATTTGAACTTCGAAAGCAGCACAGCCTTCGGGTCAGCAGCACAAATCCCTAGGGACCAAGAAACCAGAGCTCCCTGAAAGAGTGAGAGGGGACTCACACACAAGGGAGGCAGGGGGTTGAGCACAGACCAGCTCAGAGTTGGAATGTGCCACTGCCAGGCAGATCTGGGATCTCTCCTGGTCTTCCCTGACTCATTAAAAGATGGATGGTAACAACAGCTATTTCCACTGGGCTGTGGTAAGAATGAAGAGATTTAATACATATACTTTATACAGATGGCACAGAGCAGGTACTAAATGAAAACAAACAAAAAAGTCTTTCTGTTAGCAAGCACTAACCTCTGGTAAGGGTGATGGAAAAAATTTGTAAATGGTAACAGTGAGAGCTGAACATGATGAACAAGAATAGTTACTAACTTGTACATGTCAAAGGTGCTGAAATGTTGTATAAAACAGTGTAACCACTAGGGATGGTGGTGACAGTTGGGCAACATGAACAAACAGAGAGTGGGGCTAGCTGAAGACCATGACGAACAGCATAAAGTCACCAACTTGTACATGTGAAAAGTGTTGAAATAATGGTGCAGCCACAAAGGAAAGCAGTTTGGGGCTTCCTGAGAAAGTTGGGAATAGAAATATCATTGGATTCAGCAATCCCATTAGTAGATGTATTCCAAAGAAATCAGTGATGACACAAACTAACACAATCATACACACGTTTATTGCAGCACTATTCCAACACCTACCAAAGAGCGGGAATCAACTCAAGTGTTCATCAGTGGACAAGTGGCGGGAAAACCATGGTACATTCACGCAATGGCGTACCAGACATCACTAAAACACTCCCCACTTTGTGTAGTATTATACAACATGAATGACTACAGAACAAATTATGCTGAGTAGACCATGTCAGTCACAAAATGATAATTATGGTATAAGACCACTGTTAGGAAAATTAAGCAAAGGGCTACTCATAGACAGGATCCCACTAGCAGGGATGAAGAGGGGAATAAAAATTACTAAATAGTTCAGATGACTGGAAAGAAAGGCAATATATAATAAGGTATTGATTGCTGTGGTTGCGGGCTGTCGAGTTGGCTGATCCCCTCAACGGGTTTTCTGAGGCTGTAAATTGCACACGAGAAAGCTCATCTTTCTCCTTGGGAGCAACTGGTGGACTTGAATCTCATGCTTTTGGGTTGGCAGCGCAACTTCTTACCACTAAGCCACCAGCACTTCCATGGAGGCTGACTAGACACTGTAACTAATTAATAGCTGATTAATGTTATTTTTTTTAAAGTCTATGGAAAATGTTATGAAAACACTAATACGATTTACAAACCTTCACTCAAATAAAAAAGAAAATGCATACAATCTCAAAAATAAAGTAATAAAAAGAAATTGTGTGGTATTCCTTTTAAACAAAAGTGCTAAAACGGCAAATGTTCTCTTATATTCTTATTTCCTGTCTTTCTAAAGACATCATTAGAATTGGGACAAAGAACAAAACATCACTACGGACTGGATATTAGATAATAAACTCAAGCTCATTCCTATTGCGTTGGAACTGAAGCACAGCTGACCCTCCAGTGGGTTTTCAGAGGCTGTAAATCTCATGGGAGAAGACAGCTCATCTTTCTCCCACTGAGCAGCAGGAGGATTCGAACCACCTGCCTTTGGGTTGGCAGCATAACTCCTTACCCAGTAGGCCACTAGGGTGTGGTATTAGTGACACTTCTTTAAAGTAATCCTAAGGATATCAAAGAGAATATTGTTGGTCTTCAGGGAAATACTCTGACATGCTTAAGGATGAAGGCTTATCATGGCTGAAGTTTATCCTCAACTAGTTTAGAGGGTTAAAAAAGTGCTGACACACACACAAAAAAATTAAAAGAAGAATCCAGTAAAAATATGATTCATATGAAAACAAATCTTTCTGGCTCATCTCATGGTGTAGCTCAACCTGGGACAACGAGTGGATTTAGCTGCAGCCTCTGCAGTGGTCAAGACAAACAGGCAACATGCTAACTAGGTTCACTTCCCACCAGTGTTTGCCACTTGGTCAGAAAGCCCGGAGTCAGAAGCGACCTCTCTGCCTGACAGGGCGGGCTGAACAGGCTGCGGGCACCCGCGAGCACTGGCCAGAAACTCACCGTCATGCTCCTGTATTCATCTTCAAACATGTCCAGAAAAATTTCCTCTCCCTAGAAAATGAAAAGAAAAATATTATTCATATTTTTCTTCTTACAAACAAGAAAGTATTATAAACTCCAGTTTGCAGCTTTTTAGAGCCATCTGTTTCTCATTAGCAAGTTCTCGTAAATCACCAGGAAGTGAGACACACACGTGAACACATGAAAAACCAATACTACTCAATGTCCTCCTCACTTTTTTTCCTTTAAGCATGTAGAATTGTTTTTTTCTATCAAAGAAATAAATTAAAAATAACAAAAGTAAAAAAAAAAAATAACAAAAGTAACACTACATGTAATTAGAATCTGGAAAAGGTTATTTCAAGTGTTTAATATCACCAATTTGTCTGAAATGGTTCAAAATGGTAAAACCCAGCTAAGTCACCCTGGTTAAAGTCGGGAGTCCCACACCTCTCAGAAGAAGAGAATCTCAGTAAAGAAGCTTAACAGGAAAATGATGCAGCTTGTCCTCTTGATTTCTGCTCCTTCAGGATCTGTCATTCCTCAGGGCCATGGCTGCCTAGGAGGTCCCCTCAGAACAGGTGGGGGGTAAGAACCTGGCTCCAAGGCACATAAAACCAAAATAGTTGCCTTTGAGTCAACTACGCCTCCTGGTGCCCCACTGTGTGTCACAGGAGAACTGTGGTCCAGAGAGTTTTCAATGAACGGCTGTGATTTTATCATCAGGCCTTTGAGTGCTTAACTGTTAGTGCCACTTGGGGACTCTTTGAGACACATAAACCCAGGTCCAAATCCAAGGTCCACCCTACAGAGCCTATTGCTGTTTTGCTGTTAGCCCATGTCTGCTGGGTCACTGTGAAGAAGGTGAGGTATGTTAATGAACAGAAAGTGGGGAGCATGGAGCCTGCCACGCAGCTGAGGCTGGCTGGGTAAACACATGCATGCTCACAAACAGACAGGAGCACAGCTATGGCCAGAGGACAGAGTCCATTCAATGTGTGGCACCTTATCAGGACTGTCCTTGTCTCTCTCCTAAGTCCTGAAAGAGCCAAAATAAAGGGCAGGAGGGAGAAAGAGTGGAATCGTTTTTCTGGTTGTCAGAACTACAGCTAAGCTTGAATATGCTTGCACAGTACGGGTACCACCAGAGAATGTGACAACCTCTAAAAGCGTCCAATAGATTCTGAGACTTTCCACTTACAGTGTAAACTTCCAATAGATTCTGAGACTTTCTACTTATAGTGTAAACTTCCCAGAGAGAAAAAAAAAAACCAAAACTGGGCTAGGAATAAGGAATTCAAATTCAAATAGAGCACATTTCTCATCATCTGTTAATGAAAAAATAAAGTCTTTCTGGGGAAATCTATCTATACATCTTTATGTTTTGGTTTTTTTTTGTTTGTTTGTTTTTTGCTTTTTTTACCAACGGATAGTCAATTTATTAAAATAGTTGATTTAGGCATCTGCAATGGTGACTTCAACCTCTACTCCAGGCTCAGTGCTGATGGAGGTGATCTGCTTGCCAATCTCAGAAGGACTGTGTAAGTCAATGAGTCGCTTGTGGATCCTCATCTGGAAACGATCCCAGGTCCTGGAACCTTCCCCACAAGGAGTCTTCCTTGTAGTGATTCAGAGTCTTGGTAGGCATCCTGACCGGTCCCTTCACCTTCAGGTTCTTCTCCTTTGCGCCTCTGATCAAGTCGGCACACACCTTCTCCAGGGATTTTACGTTGAGGCTGGTTAGGGTAATCCTAATTCGGTGAATGGCCACTTCCGGTTCCACAGGCGTCTTTCCGGTGTCCTTAAAAGCCATGGCTGCGGCGCGGCTTCCTGACCGACTTGTTCCCCGGAGAGAGCGAACAGCGGTGAGTCAGGAGCAGGAGTGGGAGAACACAGCGTCTTTCTTAGAGAGCTACATCTTTATGTTTTATGCAATCCAAGAGTTTTCTGTTATTAGGTGCTGACAAGTCAGTTCTGACTCACACTGGCCCTATGTACAATGGAAGGAAACACTGCCTGGCCTTGCAACAACTTCACAATTGTTATGTTTGAACGCAACATCACACACATGCTATGAACTTGCTAGGGGGGAAATAAACTTGGAGTTAGAGGTCGAAAGATGCCAAAGCAACTGTGAGGGCTCTGCATTCTTCCCAGCTTCGCTGAAGGAGATCCGTTCTCACTGGCAGCCTGGTGGGGCCCTGTGAGCTGTGGAAGTGTTTCCATTCTCATCAGGGAATGTCTACTGTGCTCCAGCTGGTCATGGCCATCGGAGCCTGGCAGGTGGATTTCCATATTATATGACCTGGTTTTATTTCCAAGAACACTGCTAATAATGGACAAGTCACTTAAAAAGGTTCTTGCAAAGAAACTTCAGCTTGAAGAGAATACACATAAAGGAAGCACAGGTGACCAAGAAAAGAGAGCAGAGCCCACACGTTTCCTCCTTTTGCTCTCAGGGGCCTGCGGGAGCCAAACTGGAGGAAGACTACCACCACCAGGACCCAATACACAGGCCAAGAGAGGGGAAAACTAAGAAGTCTATTTGGAATCTGGATGAATCCATTCTAGGTAAGAAATAAAGAGCTTTGCCTGAGGAGAATAGCCTGGGAGCAAAACAAAACCAACACGATTGCTGTTGTGATGTGTCATCAAGTTGCCTGCAACTCAGAGAGACACTATCTACATTAGCTTTGAAGCGTGCCCTGTCCTGAGCCAATCTCATCATCTCCAGCAGATCCACGCTCATTTCTCCAGTCACTGAGTCAATCCATCTTATACAGGTTCTTCATCTCCTGTGCTGTTCCTCCACTCTTCCAAGCATAATATCCTTCTCCAAGGACTGGTCCCTCCTGGCCACATACCCAAAGTATGTCAAAAACCTAGCATGCAGGGAGTAGCTTCACCCTCTCCAGGACAGATCTGTTTGTTCTCCTGGCTATTTACAGTATGTTCAACACTTCTTCAGCACCACAACTCAAAGGCATTGATCCTTCTTCTATCATCCCAAGTTGTTATCCAGCTCTCTGATACAAGTAATTGCAAAGACCATGGCCTGGATCAGGTGCACCTTGGTTTCCAGACTGAAATCACTGCTCTTCAGTACTCTAGAGAGGCCCCTGGCAGCAGACTTTCCCAATGCAACTCATGTTCTGATTTTCTGACTGCTGGTGCCAAAAGTGTTTATTAAGGAACCAAGCAAGCTGATGTTGTTAACAATCTCAAGCTCTTCCCCATCTATCATGAAGGTGCCAACTGACTCAGTGGTGAAAATCTTTCTTTTCTTGATGTTGACCCTTCAATCCATATTGAAGGCTGCACTCCTTGACCTTCTGCAGCAAGCGCGTTAAGTCCTCCTCAGTTTCAGTAAGCTAGGTTGTGTCACTTACATAATGCATATTGTTGGAGAGTCTTCCTCCAATCCTGATGCCATATTCCTCCTCAGCCTCTTGGATTATCTGTTCCACACATAGATTGAAAAGGTAGGGAGAGAGGACACATCCCTAGTGTACACCCTTCCCATTTTGAACCATGCAGTGTTTCCTTGCTCTGTTCTGATGACTGCCTCCTGGTCCAAGCATAGGTTTCACATAAGCGCAATCTGGGATTCCCATTCTTCTCAGAGTTAGCCTCAGTTTGTTGTGATCCACACAGTCAAAAGCCTTTGCATAGTCAATGAAACACAGACAGACATTCCTCTGATGCTCTCTGCTTTCGGCCACAATCCATCTAACATTAGCTATAATGTCCCTAGTACTATGGCCTCTTCTAAACCCAACCTGCACATCTGGTTAGATATTTTGAAACTAATCATGAATCTGAAGACAAATATCTATAAAATTTATAGATATTGAAGATCACAACAGAACAAGAGGAGATAATCACTAAACTCAATGATAAATGTCTAAAAGTTTGTAAGAGGTTTCTGAGCAGATATGTATATGATAAATATATACAACAGAATTCATATGTAGTTCATAAATAAATCACATTTATAGGGTATACATAATTCATATATTGACATATAAGTTCATCATATATAATTTATCGGTATGTATGTATACAATTTATAATTTATCAACTCAAAACAAAGGCACATAGTCATATACAAGCATTCATAATATAATACATAAACAAAACTTATTAACAAAATCTGTACTATAATTTAAAACAGTTATATCTGAGAGATAAGTGCTCAGAAACTGAATTGCTGGGCAGCAGAGTCCAGCAGAACATTGTTTTGAGGTTGAGGAAGCTGAGCATTTCCACTCAATAGAAACTGAAGGCTCGTGGCCTGGATGTGTATAGTTTAGATACCACTACAGACACACAACCAGGAGCGGCTTTCATACCTTGTAAAAATGTCGCACCAGGTGAACACTTTCTTCTCTTGCACCCTGTGACAAAGGGGAAAAAGTGATAAGGTGGCAAGGCCTGTGGAGATGAGTGATCCAGGCAGGTCAGTCTAAAGCCCCAGGGGATATAAATCAGATGTCTACATTTAATAAGTAGAAAAGGCTTTCTTGGGGAAAAAAAGCAGGAGGAGGGACCTCAAAACAAATGGGCTTAGGACAAGCCGTCCAACTTAGCGGCACAGAAAGTTGCTAATACACAGTTAAAGGGGGAAATGAGTTATAAAATATGGCCATTACCTCTCCATTTTTAGAAACAGAGAAGCCGGTGTGCATATGTGTGTAGGAAAGAGAGACACCTACATGGTGTATACATGCAGACACACAGAGCATACAGAAAGACGCACACGAAAGGGTTAACTAGAGTTGTCTATTCCCCCTCTGTTTTCTAAGATACTGAAAGTGGGACAAACGTGGAGAGTGTGTGTGCATGTGCGTGTGTGTGCGCGTGCGTGCACATGCGAGTGTGTGTGTGTGTGAGAGAGAGAGAGTTTTCCAAGACAAAGAGAAAAATCCTGGAATCAAATGCAGAAGCTAAATACTTGTAACGGAAACCACTCCAATTCATGAAGAGGCCTCATCAAATAAGACTCCGCTGCAGGAAGCTCCTATTTGTAAAGGGGGATGGAGTGGACACCAGCCCCAGGTCCCTCTGCTGGTGCCATGGATGCCACAGATCAGGGGACTCCAAGCTGGATGCCAGGAGTGGCCCTCCCAAGTACTCAGGGAAGAGGACAGTAGAGGCCTCACCTCCAGGCAGGCCAAGTGCACGTCTTTGATGATGCAGCTGCTGTTGGTCAGAACCTGCTGCTTCAGGAGCAGACAGCTCAGCTCCAGGGTCGCCAGGCGGATCTTCCCATCTACAGAGCACACGGTGGTCAGACTGGGGCTGCTACTTCACATGGTATTCGAAGTTACCCTAATCCTGATCCTAATTTCTATTACCTAGTGAGGTAATTAAACTCAATGATTGAATGTGGGACTCTACTTTCTACCCTATCCACTAACTGGCCACACATCCTTCAACAGTCTCTTTGACTGCCCAAGCTCTCAACATCCACAGGGGACACAGGACGCCTCCACAGGGCAGCCTCTTTTCCAGTCAATTACAGTTCAGACAACATCAAAAAGCCCCTGCCAAATGCTTCCCTGAAGTCCTTCCATCAGAAGCATGAGAGAGACAGGACTACAACTGATCATAACTGGTTCCCTGGGCAGTATGATCAGTTAGCAGAAGAGTTTAGCTGCTAACCAAAAGCTCAGAAGTTTGAGTTCACCCAGAGGTGGGTCTGCAGATCCACTTCTGGAAGAGCAATCACTGTAAACTCACCCAAAGCTCAGTTCTGCTGACACGGCTGGGATCACCATGAGCTGGAATGGACTTGATGGCAACCGGTATCACATATTTTGGCAAAACTAACACTCAAGAAAATTGTGCAGCTTGCAACAAACCTTGTGGCAAATACCTTGAGGAAATATATAAGTAAAGGCTGAGAAAGTGGCTGTATTCTTTCCTCTTCTTCAAGGAAAGCATCCCTACTTTCCTTTGAAGAACAACTGGCCCCATTTTGTCCAGTGATTTAGATGGAACTGATGCCTCTAAGCCGGTATGTGCCACTGCTCTGGTCAGTGAGTGGGTAGGGATGGGCACAAGTGCTGGGATGAGCCAGCCAAGCTCACTCTACAATCTGCCGGGTAAGAGAATCTGCCTGAGTGCTGGGCTGGCACAGACACAGCCAGTGGTGGGGCCTGGGGAGTGCGGACATCATAGTCCCTATCTGTCCCTCCCCAGTCCCTGCAGCAGCTTTCATCTTCCCTAAAGTTCTCTGAAGACCGAGCGTCATGTCCCATCTTCCCACCTGCCTGCCCAAACCTCAGTGCCTTCCAGACGGCCAGTGTAGAGGTCAGAAAGACAAGGAAGGTGGCTGGAGCTGTTAGCAGTTAACCTGCACATGCAGAAGACCACAGCCACCAAAGAAAACAGGGTTGGAGTGCTGGGTGCAGCTGTACCTGAAGCCAGAAGTCAAAAGACTTTTCCAGTGACATAAGTCAATGCTTAAGCCAGTCTGAGTTGTGTTTCTATCAACTGCAACCCAATTCTGAACACAGCCTGCTAGCTTCTGAGCCAGGCGTGTGCTGGGTGATTTGCATATGCCCCCTGAAGGACTGCAGGTGAGACAAGTGAAGCAACTTCCCTGAGGTCTATCAGCTACAAGATCGAAGACTGCAGGTGCTCTGAACACCAAGTTCCACCACAACTGCCACCATCCGCAGAACTTTCTGTGCCAATCTGCCATCACTCACAGTAGCATCCGTGACTGTCTGAGGGGTTGCTGCTTCTGATGCAAACTCTTCTGTGTCTCCATAGCTCACTCCTAAGGTGCTTCCTGATGCTGACCGGGGAACGTGGGAAGGAGAAGGCCTCTCTAAGGCAGAACCACCATATGGTTCCCTGTCTGACATTATGCGCACATCTTGGAAGTTAGGTGGGAAAAGATGAGAAAAGAGAATCCATTCACTTAAAAAAAGGAGTAAACTGCACACAAGAGTCTTCTCCAGAATGTCACAAACCCCAGAAGCCTACACAGAAAAAGGCGGAAATATAAACCCAGTGAGGAGCTATGGTGGCCCAGTCCATGGTAGGTCACACTGCTAACCCAAAGGCATAGGCCTCTCCAGCGGTTTGAATCCACCAGCGGCTCCATGGAAGAAAGCTGGGAAATTTCCCGTGTGATTTACACCTTAGGAAAGCCATGGGAAGGTCAGTGATGAGTCAGTCTCTGACTTGAGAGAGATTAAGTTCAAATAATAACCCCTCTGCCTTCAGCACTAACTGAAGTCTGCTGCTGCAGTGGCTACAATACAGCAGCCCCGACCACATAGCCTCCACTGTTTCTTCAGTGTTTCTTTAGAGCCTTGCTCCTGCCTGTCCCCCAAGCAAGTCCACTGTTGGACAGGCCACAAAACTCTTCCTTCTACATCATTTTCCTCAAATCACACCTCCCTGTTGCTAGAGGGAAGTGAAAAGAGATTCTTCAGCAAGATCCTTCCTCCTTTGTAGCCTCTTCCCTTCACTGACCTTGTTTCTTATTTTCCAAGAGGAACCCATGAGATGGGTCACAAGCTCCTTGCTCCTCCACGATGCTGCCACATGAGGCTCTGACCAGACCAACCTCCTGTCTTCAGCATCTGTGCTGGCCTCTAATCAGCCCTGAGAAGCTGGTCGGCTACTCCACTGGGACTCTTCATGCAATCCTCCTCCATCTTCAGGCTATGTCTGGCCCACACAGCTCCTGTCACCTGTCCCCTCAGGGATGTATTCGTCCCACCCATCTGCACCTTTTAGTAGGAATAGACTAGGCAAGTCTTCTTCCTCCATGCTATTTCCCCTCATATTAATTTCTTAGTGGCCTTATCTCAGCTCCTTTTCAAGGTCACAGTGTCCAGGCTGTTTTAGACTCACTCCCCATCCCCTCACCCCCCAGTGTTAGCTCCATTCCCGACCACAGCTCTGGGTCTTCACATAACCACCAGCTGAGGCTCCTGGAGGAGCGGAATCGTGGCTGTCTCGCACTTGCCTGTCCCCTTGCCATCCTCATGCTGTGCCTGGCATGCAAGAGGTACTCAACAGTGGTGGTCTTAGTCAACAGGCCAGCACCTTGACTGGGCTCATTACGATATCGTCACGACACAGAATGGCTTTGTGATCAAGATTTCCTAACCTCCACACTACTGGCATCTGTAATTGCTGGACGGGCCCATTCATAGCTAGCCTACGTGCAACAGAAGGAAATCCTGCCTGGTCTGACATCATCCTCCTCACAATGGCTGCTGTGTTTGAGCTGTCCTCACATCATAGGAACATTCTGATTGTCCTTCCTCCAGGGCAGATCTGTTTGTTCTTCTGGCAATCCATGCTGCTGTTATATGCCACTGAGTCATCTGCAACTCACAGCAACCCTATGCACAATAGCTCTGAAGCCTGCCCTATCCTGAGCCAGGCTCACTGACTCTGACACCCCTTCCTCCATCACCCCAGTTACTGTATCAGTGCATCTCGCCCAGGGTCTTCCTCCCCTGCACTGTCCTTCCACCCTTTCAAGCATGATGTCTTTCTCCAAGGACTGGTTCCTTCTGGCCACGTGCCCAAAGTTTAACAGAGTTTCAAAATCCTTGCCTCCAAGGAACAGCCAGCCTAGTTTCACCCTCTCCAGGACAGACCTGTTTGTTCTCTTGGCGGTCCATGCATGGTATGTTCAATACTCTTCTAGAACATCACAACTCAAAGGCATTGATTCTACTTCTGTCATCCTTAGTCACTGTCCAGCTCTCTGATGAATCACTATGATGGCAGTCCACAGTCATTCTTCTTCAATATCATAATTCAAAGGCATCAATTCTTCTTAGGTCTTTATCATTCAGCTTTTACATACATATGATGCTTTACAGGTACTAAAAATACTATGTCTTGAATGAGATATAGCTTACCTCAAAGTGACATGCTTTTTAACACTTTTTTTAAGAGGTCTTTTGTGGTAGATTTGCCCAGTGCAGTATGTCGTTTGACTCCTTGTTTATGAATCCAATTAATAAGAGTCCTTGACAATTTCTACATTTTCTTCATTTCTTAGGATATTGTTTACTGGCTCAGAGTGAGGATTTTTGTTTTCTTTATGCTGAAGTAGTGTAAACCATACTGAAAGCTGCAGGATCTCTATTACAAGTGCTTCAAATTTTTTCCCCTCTCAACAGGCAAGGCTTTTTCACCTTACAAGCTGGTAATGAGCCTTCATTAAATCCTGATGCCAAATTCTTCATATAACCCAGCAGCTCAAATATGCTGAGATGGTTTGCTCAGGACATTTTTTTCTAGAATCCTAATTCTGTGCAATGTTATCTGTAATTTGTCATGATTTTGCATAGCCAGTAAAACATGAGTCAACATCCTTCTAGTTTTGTTTTCAGTCAAGATCCATCAACAATGATATCCCTCATTCTATATCCTCTTACTAATCCAGCTTGAATTCTGGACAATTTCCTGTTGATATGCTTCTGTAACCATTTTTTTAAAAATTATCATCAGCAAGATTTTACGTGAGGTACTCTTTATTAATTTCTACATTCTGTTGGATCACCTTTCTTTCGGAATGGGCATAGTATGAGCTTTTTCTAGTTTGCTGGCTAGGTCTCGGGCTTCCAAATTTCACGGCAAGTCAGTGCTTCTAGTGTTGCATTCATTTATTGAAACCTCTCAACTGTTACTCTAACAATTCCCAGAGTCCTGTTTCTCACCAGCTTCTTTTGTGAAGTTTGAACATTTCCTTCAATATCATTGATTCTTGAACATAAGCTACTTACTGAAGTGGTGGGATACTGACCAATTCTTTCTGATACACTGATTCTGTACTCCTTATACCCTTGTTCCTCACCACCACCAGTTTTGTGTTTTATTTTTGTAAGTTCAGGCCTTGACTGCATATTTCGACAGTGGGTACCGGCACTCTTTTTGCTAGTTGCTTATTGGTCTTCAGGTTCTCCTCGTGCTAGTTGATGGCATGTGTTTTCTTGGGTTGCAGATCTAGGGGTTTGTATTTCTTGCCCTTATAGTGTTTTCTGAGGTTTGCCTTCTGAGTCTGGTTAATTACAATGAGAACATGAGCAATGGATTTTCAGACAACTCAGATTTTGGGGAGCTTGGAAGCCACACTGCCTGTAACTTTGGCGACGCGCATCAGGAAAAGCTCCACCTTCAGATCATCCAGCTGTTCCAACAGCTCCTCTTCCTTCTTGCCTTGAAGGTCCTGAGCCTTGACTTTGGCCATGGCTGAGCAACAGAACCCTTCCTTATACCCTCTTTTGATATATCCTCCATTGTCCAGTCCTTGAAGAGGGACGTCATGCTTGGGAGGCTTGAGGGACAGCGTAAGAAATAAAGACCCTCAATGAGATGGATTTATTCTGTGACTAGGGAAATGGAGGTAAGTGCGCTGGAGGCAATAAGACTGGCACAGGATAGAACAGGGTATATGGCTGTTGTACATAGGGTCACTATGAGCTGCAGGCCCCTTGATGGCACATAACAGCAACAATATTGTTCTGTATTTTTTTTTACTCATTGTTTTTGTTATATGACATCAAGTCACTTGTGACTCATAGTGATCCTATGTACAACAGCCCTAAACCTTGTTCTATCTTGAGCCAACCTCATTGTCTCTGACATACCTAGACTACTTCACTATTGTAACCTGAGTCTTGATTTTTTTTTTTGTTCATGTCTTTCAGTGTGACAAATGACGAGTATCAGTTTTTTTTTGCACTGTGGTATTCTAACGCCAGATGTTTGCACTTTTATTTTTTTTTCACCTTTCCCTATAATACTTTTCATCTCAAGACATCTTTTGAAACCTTCTGCTCAGTTCTTTCACCTCATCATTTCTTCTGTTCTCTTTAGCTTCTCCACATTCAAGAGCAAGAGTCATACAGTCTCTTCTAACATCTATTTTGGTCTTTTGTTTCTTTCCTGTCTTTGCAATTAGCTTTTTAAAAAGTTTTTACAAAGTTCATATACATTGTGTTTCACACTATCCTTCATTCACATTGTGTTCCATACAATCAGACAATTCATGCCTGATGTCTTTGATGTAATCTCCAATGTATCCATTCTATTCTTGAGATGACCTATATATTAAGGTGGGGTATACTCAAAGTAGTTCTTTGAATCTCATTGATTTGTTTCCATCTCTTTAGCTTCAACTTGAACTTGTTGCTGAGATGTTAGCAGCTAGATCCCTGGTATTTCATTATGCAAGGCAGAATGGAGGACCTTGTGATTGACTTCTAAAATAAATGGTAGGTGAAAACCCTTAACAAACAGCAGTAGAAATCATCTGTTATAGTGCCAGAAGCTGTCCCTCTCAGGAGGGAAGGCCCTCAATACACAACCGGAGAAGAAGTGCCTCCTCAAAGTGGAGTTGACCTTAACCATGTGAATAGAGGAAAGGTTTCAGACAATATAGCATGCTGATGTGGCTCAAACTCAAAATCAGAAAAACAGCTGCAAGCATCTATTAACCACCAGAATACGGAATGTAGAAAGGAAAACTGAGTTGTCAAACTGAAACAGAATACTCAAAGGTCAGTATCATAGGCATTAATGAGTTAAAATGGCCCATTTTGGGTAGGATAATCTTACATATAGTCCACCACAAATGAAAAATGGAAGAGAAAAAGTATCACACTAATTGCTAAAAAGAACATTTCAAGATCTATGTTAAAGTGCTGTCAGTGACAGGATAATATCCATACATTTAAAGGGAAGATCAGTTAATCTGAGTATTACTCAACTTTACACACCAACCACCATTGCCAAAGATGAAGAAATGGAAGATTTTTAGACTAACTTCCATATAGCCTGAAACTGATCAACCATGCAGTCAAGACACTTTGCTAATTACTGGTGACTGGAATGTGAAAGTTGGAAAGAAAAATACAGTCTTGGGGACATAAACAATGCAGAAAATCACATGACAGAGTTGTGTAAGACTAACAAACTATTTTGAGAGATACTTTTTCCCCCCAACAACATAAACAGTGATTATGTATGTAAATTTCACCAAATGGCATATACAAGGATCACATCTACTTTTTTTTTAAAAGAGATAATGGAAATGCTTAATATCATCAGTTAGAATAAGGCCAGAGGTCAACTGTACAATGACCATCAATTGCTAACAAGTTTCAGTTGAAGCTAAAGAAAATTACAACAAATCAAATCCCTGGACATTTAAGACAAGAAACTTCTCTGTCCTGTGTATTGTAGGGTCCTTGGCAGCATACTGGTGTCTCCTCATCAGATGACAATAGACCCTTCCTCCCCTAATATGGTGACCAAAATGGTCTCCTGTCATTGTCAAATGTCCCCAGGGGCCCAAGATCCCTCTAGCTGAGAAACACATTGCTAGATCATCTTGCCAGCTCTTTCTAGCCCTACCCTTGGAGGCAGATAGTTGTTGGCTAAAATCTCTGAACCAGACCAGTGGATAGCAAACACTGGGTGCTGTCCTGTATTATTGAGACCATCTAACTCCAATTCTCACTCCAACCCTTAACTTGGATATTACATGGTCTTGAGCCATTCAGAGAGGTAAGGTGGCACTTATTGACAAAAGTAGAAAAAGGTGTGTTCATGCAGAGGGAGAAGAGAGTCAAGAAGAGAAAGGGTGACCAAGATGTAACAAACAGGATGGTACTGGTGGCAGAAGGCATGACGCCATATGACAGAGGCAGAGGAAGTGGGTGAGATCCACTCAGACTCCGAACAGGGTCAGGCCTATACCCAAGTATCGCAGTGGCCAGTGTAGGTACGTGGTCCCACTGACCCCACCACCCCTATGAATAGACCCCATGCTCCCCAAGCACCTTGCTGGGCAGCGTTGTTCATTATCCTGATGAGTCTTTCGGCCAGGAGATGGTTATAGGTGATCTTCTCAGTCACAGTAGGCACTGGGAGCTCGATTGGCTCTAAGTTTTCTGGATTCATTCCTGGGACAAAGAAAGGGTCAAGATGTCAGCAGAGCCACTTTCCTGAGAGACAGCACTATGCTGAAAGGCCTGCAGAGCAGAGTTTCCTCAGTGTCAGCCCCAAGTCCTTTGTAATTCTTGCTGTGCCGGTCCAAACTCACCATTTTCTGCAAAGCAAATTTAAGTAAATGCTTTCACAAGGTCATCTTCTAGGACTACTTGTAAATGAGAAATCAGCATTGCTGAAATAGGTGACCATAATTCTAAAAAGAAAAGAAAACAATGCTACAATGCTTTTTAAACTCTAACCAGACTGCTGAGCACTTGTGTGCTCCCTGTGGCCGGAGGCCTGATCTGTCCTGAGAAAAAGGTACTTACTTACAAGGCACTGAGAACAGACTGACCTCAAACTATGACACTCTCTCTACTGGACACAATCAGAGGGAGTGGAAAGGGAGCAGAAAAGGAGAAAGATTCCTGCCAGTTCATGCTAGGCTTGTGTACCACCTGAGACCAGCCCATACTGGACACATGGTACATTTGGGGAGACAGAGACCTAAGAAACAGAGGCCAAGAGTAAAGAAAACTACAGCCATATTTAGCAACTGTATCCTTAAGTTTGCAACACAAGCTGAGGTAGGTCAACCATTCAACAATCAGGCAGAGATACACCACCCCCCCACCCCCACACACACAGAGTGTCACTAGAGGAAGCTCCTTACAGGAGACAGTGGGGCAAGGATGTAAATGCTTGAAACCAGGGAAGCAGGTATATGACTAGCTGGCGAGAAAACGGGGATTTTTTTCCCTCCAGTGAAAACTAACAACATTTTAAAGACAAAATCTATGATGGAGGTGAGCTTGAATGGTGTGGGGGTGAGGTTAAGAAAAAACGGGCACTGTAAACAATACTGAGGGCTGGGGAGACAGAAGACTAGGCAGGGCTACTGGAGCAGCCCAGGTCTCGAGTTAGACGAGTTCCAAAGAGCTCAGCCTTGCTTCCAACATGGCTCTTGAAAAATACACTTGTAGAAACAAACATTTAGTTTGATCCAAGCTTTGAGAACCAAAAAGATTGTTTGTGCTTCAAGCACGTCTTTTCCTGTTATTCTCCAAAAGAGGGGGAAGGTGGCACTTCTGGGAACTCTTGAAATACGGCCCTTTGAGTACCAGATGACGCCTCATTTAGAACCTTGACACAATAGTGGAGGATAGCATTGAAGGGCTGATGGTCTGGGTTCTAAGTAACCTCCCCCACTCCCCCACACACACGTTGACGTAATAAGCTATAACAATATATCTTGCTTTATTGAATTCCTTCCAGCTGCAGCTGAGAGGTGAAGCCATGCCAAGGAGATGACACGCGTGAGGGACGGTCTGAGGGTTGCGCTGGGCAGTGCTTCCACGGTCTCTCTTTCACACAAACCACAGATGAGGCTTTCTCAAAGAACTTGATTGCAATGAAAATTGAATTTGTGGATTTTCTATCCTATTTTGATGCTAAACATCTCACTCTGAAGTGCTCTGGTTTATTAAACGGTAGGCAGAATCTCTTGAACACTTAATTGTGCTCAAGCAGGACCTGTACACAGACCAACAGCAGCCAATTGTTTTAACAAGGAGAAACTACATGGCTTAAAATCAGGAAGGTGTGCAACAGGGTTATAACCTTCCACCATACTTACTCAGTAATAAGTAATTATTTACTCATGCTGAGCAAACAATCTGAGAAGTTGGACTACTGAGAAGAATGTGGCATCAGGATGGAAGGAAGAGTCATTAACAACCTGATGTGGCAGGCAGCACAAGCTTGCTTGCTGAAAGTGACCAGGACTCGAAGTACTTACTGGTGCAGATCAAAGGCCACAGCCCTCAGTATGGATTATAACTCAAGAAAACAAAAATCCTCATAGTTGACCAATGAGCAACATCATGATAAACGGGGAAAAGATTGACAACAAGGATTTCATTTCACTTGGCTCTGTAGTCAGTGTCCTTGGAAGCAGCAGTGAAGGGGCAAGTCTGCTATGAAAGACCTCTTTAGTGTTTAAGAGAAAAGATTTCACTTTAAGGACTATGATACAATTCACTCAAGTCTCACATGCATGTAAAACCTAGTTAATGAATAAAGATCAAAGAATTGATGTCTTATATCATGTACTGCCATCGAGTTGAGCACATCTCATAGCGACCCTATGAACAAATGGCCTACAACTATATTGTTGTTCCTCAAAATTCATAGAATTTCCAGAAGCATGTTTACGACGTGGATGTCACTCATGCTTCCAAACCTGTCTTAAACTGGGAGATCCATCAAATAATGTCCACCAGTAGTGATTATTATGCCTTATGACACCCCAATGTCACAAGGTTCAGCATCACAGCAAGCCCAGATTATGTCAGTATAGCAAATGACAGAAGAGTGCTGTACCACTTAGAAGAGTGTTCCTCCAAAATAAAATAACAACTGACTTTTAAATACAAAGGCCTTCATGAGGTCTTGTTGACTCTAAACAAGAGGCTTAAATAAAAAACAACTAATGTAATATGTTGTTGTTGTTATGTGCCATTGAGTCTCCTGTGGCCCATAGTACAGCAGCTCTGAACCCTTCCTTGTCCTGAGCCAGTCTCACTAATTCTGACACATCAATCCCCATTGCTCCAGTTATTATATCAATCCATCTCATCCAGGGTCTTCCAGTCCTGTGCTGTCCCTCCACCCTTCCAAGAATGATGTCCTTCTCCAAGGACGAGTCTCTCCTGGACACATGCCCGAAGTATGTGAGACAGAGCTTCAAAATCCTAGTCTCCAAGGAGAGACTTAGTTTCACCCTCTACAAGACCTTGTATTAGGGTGTTGGTAAAGAGTATTAAACGTTCTTCTGAGCTGCCAGAAGAACAGATAGATCTGTCTTGGAAGTAGTACAGCTAGAATGCTCTGTAAAAGCAAAGACAGCAAGAGTTCACCTCGTGTACTTTGGGCACGTTACCTGGATGGATCAGTCCCCAGAGAAGGACATCATGTTAGGCAAAGCAGGACAGCAAAACATGAAAGATCCTTATTAAGAACCAGCATAGAAGCTACAACGGGCTCGAATACAGCAACGATTGTGGAGATGGTTCAGTGTCAGGTGATGCTTCACTCTGCTGTATGTGGAACCTCTGAGTGGGAACTGATCCACACCTCAACTGGCCTTTTGGAGCATTTGTTCTTTCCAGCAATGTCAATGCTGGCTGGTCTTTGGAAACTCGGTCAGTGGTTTCTGGGAATAGAAAGGCTCCTCTGCCTCCACATGGCTTCACTCAACTTCATGATCTGACCACCAATCTCAGCTTCTGAGAGGCCAGTGGAGAAAGCCCATTGCTGCTTCCTCTGGAATGTGGTGGTGGCCCACAAAACCCAGAGCAGGAACACATTTGCTCAGTTCTTTAATTTTCCTGGAAAAGTCTGTTTTGTCTCTTTCGTATTATTTTCCCCTCTTTGACTTTAAAAAAAAAAAAAAGAGCGATGTGACAGTCTTCTCACCCTGAGAAAACACTCATGGCCTTCCTCGGCTGGTGATCGGCTGCCTTCCCCCAACAGGAGGGGTCCACAAGATTAAACACCTGAAGCACTTGGCAGGACCAGATTTCCAAATCCAAGGCCCTCCTATGGGGATAAAAAGGCAGCACAGAGATTGCAAATCCTTTCCTTGAGGGCACAGAGCAGTCAGGTACAACAGGAACCAGGATGATTCTAAAGGAGAGTGGGAGGCACACCAGAAGATGGCAGGAGGAGCGGACGGCTGTGCGACCTGTGAGCGAACACGCAGCAACTGAGCCGACAAAATCAAGCTGCATGCTGAGGGAACTACAGCCTATGGGGCAGCTCGACTGTTAGATGATGTCACTACAAGTTAGAAAAAACTAGTTGATACTCAACAGGAGGGCCAGCAGGGCTGGTGCTCAGGCCCATCCTCAGGGACGGGCTGCTCCTGATAAGATTCTGAAGCTATCTTAAGCTGGAAGGATGGGTCAAAGGCAACCTGCAAGGTGTCTGTCTGGTAGAGCGGTGGAAGGGTTAGGAAAGAGACTGTGGAAAAAGCAATTAGGTCAGAGTAGGGGGCGGGGAAACTAGGATCTGTGTGGCAGGCGGTAGGGAGCACCAAGTAGCAGGGAGCACCCAGGACGCACTCTGGCTGAGGTGGGTGGCCTCCAGGTCCCTAGGTCCACTCAGGTGATTCCTGGCTTCCAGCACTTTCCTCCAAACAGACTTGATGGTGCAATGCATTCATACAAGGTGAGCGTAACCAAAGGCACCATGGGAAGATGAAGAATGGACTACAATCGACACAAGACATGGCAAACCTTGAGGAAAACGCTCTCTGAGTTCTCTTCCCAAAGTGTCTCCTGTGCTGGGGCCTAGGCTTGGTGTCCCTATCTCGGACCACAGCCTCGAAAATCCCTTCTACTGTTTTGCTTTGTCTTGGTCCCCAAGTTATAAGGCCAGCCTGCAGTTCAAAACACCAGCCACTCCGGAGTCCCAGAGTCTTGGAAAAGACATGAGGACTTTCAAGCAAGCTTTACCATTTAGCACAGTACTTACTCAAAATCAAAACAAAAGCATAAACAACACAACAAGCCGAGCCTCTCTGAGTAAAGGTAGGGTGTTTGCGGGAGAAAAGAGGAGAGCATTTGCTAAAAAGAGAAGATTCCTTCACATGTCATTGAGTGTTGTCAAATCTTTCTTGACTCACAGCGACCCCTACGGAGCAGAGTAGGACTGTCCACAGGGTTACCTGTCTTTACAGGAGCAGATGAAGAAGTCTTTTATCCCAGGTAAATTAGCACCTGAGGGCTTAACCCCTCTATCTTTTCCTTCACACAGGAAGCACAGCATAAATGGTAATAGGGAGTCACGTATACTGTTAACCTTTAGTTTGTGAAAGAAGTGCTACTATAGACAGCATTTTTTTTAAAAAAATTTTTTGAGGTGTGTGTGTGTGTGTGTGTGTGTGTGTGTGTACCGTCAAATCAGATCT